GTGTGTGTGTGCGTGTGTTCCTGAGAAGACTCTGGCTTTCTGAGGGACAGGAAAAACATTGAGCTGCATGACTTGTGGCCCCAGCGTGCAGGACGTTTTCTCTCATGTGCCGCAGTCACGCGTTTCATCTGCAGTAAAGTGGCATGAATTTCTATTGAGCCGCTCACTTCCTGATTAGCTCCACCGGCCCCTCGTTAGCCCTGCAGTCACATGACCTTCTGCTCACCTTTCCCCACCTCCCCGACCAGCCCTTCACCGCTCAGCAGCAGTCCTTCGTCAGGGGAGGGTGACCTGAGGTATTGGTGCCACCATTGGTGACTTAAAAACACAAATAGTAATAAGTGTGAAAGACAAATTGGGAAATGTTAAAGAGCCTTCTCACCTCTTACTGCTATTTGCATTTGCAAGGTGTGATTTTTACAGTGTGATTAAGTTCGTATGGTCTCTGTACTCGCATGCCCCCCCCCCCCCCCAAAGGGAGTGTGTTTCAAACACTGAGGTTTTCAGTAAAGACGGATGTTTCTTAAGAAGTAGTGACGGCGCGTGACCGGATAAATGAGAGCGCCTGTACACTGCGTGAGTTGTGAGAAATTTGGATGTACTTTTGCTCATTGAAACATATTTTTGAAATTGTTTTATTTCACACGTGAGAAGAAACAAGTTCTTGGTTCAAATTTACTAGTCTTCAAAAAATGAGACATGACAAGTTTGACCATTTAACCAACCTCACAATCTGCACTAACCTCAACGTTAAGTGCTTTAATTATTACATATTATTGACAGAAGTTAAAAACCAGTATGACTCAAGCTGCTGTGCATCTCCTTCACCTCACCGGTGTGCAGAGGAGAGAAGCTCCTAGCAGTCAAGAAATAGTCCCTGTTTGCTTTCAGAATTTATGGCTTTAATAGCTATAATTTAGCTTTTCTTAATGTGTGTCTGGCGGTGATTCTTAACAATGATAGCTCCATTAAGAAGATATTATAATTGAATCTAAAATGTTTGAGCACTCCGTCCCCCACCGCCTGGATCCTCATTTTCAGACCATATAAACCAGGGACAGCGAGAGGCGAAGCCAGAAGCAGGCTGACGGGACGCGCCTTCAGAGACCCGCATGAGACCTCGCACAATATCGCAGAGACACACGGAGAGACAGCGCTGGGGAAAACCCGCCGTTACATATGAAATAATTAGCCTTACATCACTGACAGCACTAACCACAGTTGGTTTCCAGTCAGCACAGCAGGGCTGGTTGTGAGCGTGATGAATCGGGTGCATCACGAAGGAAGAAGGACTGGAGACAACGCGCGGCGCATTCCTCTGTTTCTTACCATAAATACCAAGATCCTTATCAATTTGGAAAACTGGACAAAAGAAAACAGCATGACGAAAAGCACAACCGTGACACCTCAGATCGTCATACTTGTCTTTTTGAATAGTCAACCTATAGATGGTCGACCTTGCAATGCTCACGTTGTGTTTACTGAGGACACTAGCCAGCTAGCTAGCTAACATAAAGCAATGCATTCCAATCAATGGAGGACTAAACCACGTATGTCCACAGTGGTGTGGTGGCGGGGCGCAGCTGGGGGCCGAGTGGATCAGGCAGCAGTGCCGGCAAGAGGCCTCGGCTGTGGACAAGTTCTGTGTCTCTTTCCACATATAAACGCTGAAGACGAGAGAGAGAGAGAGAGGCAGCCTGAATGTACTGCGACCACATGAATAAATACCTGTATACATCCGTAACGAGTCACTACGGGTTATTACGGGCAACCGTGATTTGTCACAATTAACTTTTCAAATGACTAGTAGGCCTACTGATACGTGACAAGTGTCTGAGCAGCTGTCCGTCAACCGTCCATCAAACCTGGAAAACACAAAACACAGATTTTGGGCAAAGCGTTTTTGGGCCCGACAACGCCATGGTGGAGCGAGGCCTAATTGGCAACTTTCTCACAAGAGTGCTGCTTGTTACTATTATTGTAAAAAGGAGGCCAAGACTTTTCAGTTGAATTATTCAGATCCAGCGCGTCTGGCCGGTGACCTTCGGTACTGGTCCTTCCTGCAGGTCATTACCGTCACTATCAGAGAAGTTCAAAAAGGCCCTAAAGGAGAATATCTGGCAATCTTGCCTCGATGGACAACACTGCAGCGCCTCTATATGAACAAGACGTACTTAGTGGTCACTTTAATCTGCAGCAGTGTGCGGATCCAACAGGAATCCCCAGCAGGAAGCAGATCCTCAGGAGGGTTTAACATCTCTGCTCAGCTCATCCCACGAGTGCCTCACTGCAGGCTCTGCTTCCCTGTGAGGCACAAGCATGGCTGTCCTGTGTGTGTGTGTCTGTGTGGCAACACAAATTAGCAAGGCAAATAAACTCCAGGCTACACATATTACACTAAAAACAATTAATAATAAAGGGAAAAGCCTCCCTGGTGAAGTTCTTTTTTTGGCCTCTGCTCCGTAAACGACATACGCATGATGAAAAGTTTAATTACTCTGGAAATATCTGGACAACGGCATCTTGCTTTTTGTAACCAACTCTAAAACGGCTTCTTGATTCAACAGGACGTGCATGGACACTAATACAGTAGATATTATGATCCTTTTCTTCGTTCTTGTTAATACAAAGTGCTGCAGCATTCTGAATCAGCTGGAAAGAGCCGCCTGAAGACAAAGAATTGCACTAATCTAGTCAAGAAGTAACAAACACATGAACTCATTTTGTGCCTGATTTCCGATATGTTGTGTAGATGAAAAAAGGCAGTCATTGAAGTCTGCTTTATCTGCTTTATCTGTTATTTATCTGTTGGTTGAAGAGATTCTTTACGGTGCAACTGGATACCAGAGAAACGATATGTTTTTCATTTCATCCCTCCCAACTTCAATTTTAGAGAAGTCTAGAGTTCTCTTAATAGAAACATTTCATTTTTAATATTCCCCAAATCCCCCAAATCTACGATTCATACCTTCATTTAAATTTATGCAAAAACTGACATTTTAAAAACCTTGTTGAAACAAATCTCTTGATATTTTTCACCAAACTAGATGGATGGATGACCTTGGAGATGGACAAACAGAGGGAGAGATGAAATAGAATAAGGAGTAAAAGCAGTGGACATAATGGGACAGTCCTGGTGTCCTGTGAGCCTGCTCTGCTTGGTTAGCGCTGTCTGTTTCTGGCCTGTTGACTTGCAGCCTGATAGCTGCGGGGACACGCCAGTCTCCGTGGCAATTATCCCTCCGTCTCCTGCAGGATGAGCCGCTCCGACTCTGCTGCGAGACTTTTTACGGCGAAGCGGATTGGAGCTGCAAACCACTCGACTCTCGGCTGCTCGGAGGGAAGAGATTTACTATTTAGTATGCAGAGCGCCAGCGACCATTCATCTCCGAAATGTCTTCTTTGGGAGGATTTAGACAAACTTGTTTGGTGACTGAGGGTCATGTCCGTCTGACAGACACAGCTTGCAGCTCGGCCCATTACGGTTCTGCCATGGGGGAGGACGGCCACCCACGGTCATTATTCTCTCAAAAACACGGCTTTGACAGGAACTGAAACAAAGAGTATTCAGTTTGTTGCCTTTCATCTATCAGCTCACAATAATCTGTGCTATATGTGTTACAAAATAAAAGATTCTGATGATCCATGAACTCACATCAGCCAAAACCTTTCTCTTTAATATACAGCATGTATAAGAAGGACACGATCTGCCTATTAAAGGGAATAGTTACAGGTGCTTTGCAGATGTTACCCGACTGAAAGTAGTTTTTCTGTGCGGCATAATGTCGTGTCTTTGTTTTTCTTTGACTCGGTCTGCTTGTTCCCCAGCCCCAAGTCGCCCCCCCCCCCCCCAAGCCCTGCATCTACATTCTCCATCCATCCACCTGACGCCCTCGGCTCTCTCTTCCACCTGCTCTCCGCTTTCCTCTTCCCCTCGTCAGCCCTGCGGTGTATTTACTCTCCTTTACGCTCGTCCCTGCTCGATTGTCTGTGCCCTTATCGGTTCCTGCCCGTGAGCTTGTGTATCTTCCTCAGATCCTCACTGAGCCGTTTCTGGCCGCCCGGATTGTGCGTATTTGGGCTTATTTCTTGTTGCCTTAACAACAGGAACTTTTAAGTAGGTGCAAGACAGAGGCAATAAACAACTGATGGTGTTGTTTGACGTACAAAAGCAAAGGAAGCGTCGAATGGTTCCCTCGCTGCTCTGCTGGTCCTGGCCAGATGGGCCCCTGTGGGGGGAAACACCGATGCCATACAGCTGCAGGCCATCACATAGATGGAGGCAGAGGAGAAACCAGGAGCAGGACTGAGGGGGGCAGCAGCACCGTCAGAGCCCTGCTGCAGTCAGGTGGCCGTCCTGAAACTGACAATTTTCTCTTTACACAAACTCACTTTACCATATCTTTGATTTTGTGGATAGAAAATCTATTCTCCACCATTAACAACCATCTATTTTGACCGCATTAGCCAGGCTGTGATATTTCTTTCAGGTGAGAGATAGCATCAGCTACAAAAGGCAGAACTGGATGTTTTTTTTTGATGGATGAAGATCTTCACTTTAGATAAGCAGCCTGTGTCTGCTGGATAGAAGCACAGTGTCCTTATGTTCTAAAGAAGTTGCTCACACCAAAGACAACCGAGCAGAAAGCAGCAGCTCAGCGACCAACAATGCCGACTGTGACACCACAAGGAAACGCAGTCCCTCAGGTGATGGGAACCTTGACGAGGACTGTCTTCCTTCTGGCTGACGTACTCGGTGGAACGGAAAATAAAAATCCCTTCTAGAGATATGTGACGATAACCATCAGTTGAATGTGTTTTGTGCGTTATGGAACGGCGTCCCCGGGGATCCACGTGTGACAGATGGGAGTGAACGGAGCAGGTTGCAGGGAGGAGAAAAAAAGCAGATGAAGCTACGCGGGAAGGAGCAGAGCCGACGGGAGCTGGTTCGGGTCCTTTTCCGGTCCGTGGCCGCTCGGCTTCTGTCCCTTATCCTCCAGGGTCTCATTAAGTCAGGAAGGAACGTGGAGGAGCGGCACCGGAGGCGCAGCGTGGTGCCGACAAACAAGGAAGTGAGCTGGCACTTGGAGGCCACACAGGCATCAGGAAAGTAGGGACCTTTCAACAGCACTTTGGCTGATTTCCTCAAATTTCTCAACAGATCCTGAGGGAAGTTATAGTACGGAAGAGGTTCTCCCTAATGGTTCAATTGCATCTGGCAAACAAAGGCACTGCTGTTCCCCGAGTGGTGCCAGGCTTCAATTACTGTCAAAAACATTTCAACGGCGATCGGCAGCATGTGATTGATACTAATAGGATGATGTTTTCACCGCTGCAATCCCTCTTGATGGAGGTGATTGGGTGAAGGTTGTTCAGGGGGACAAAAGTCAAGCAGAAAGAAAGTAAGAATCACAGCGGGAGGAAAAGAGCAGCGACAAGAGAAATGATGGGTTAATTCATTGGATTTATATTTCAATTTCTTTTTGGGGAAGTTTGAGGGTACAACAAGTGAGACAATGGGAGAGAGGAAAAGGAGACACAGAGGATTCCTCAATATATTTGCACAGTGGAGGATGTGCATAGATACGTTGTGTTTGGTAGTGAAACCTTTAAACCGTATTTACTAAATTAACACCATGCTGTATTGACCAAGACTTCTGTACAATCAGAGGAGTCGCTCTGCGTCGGGAATGTGTTTGTTAGGCACTTTGAACCAGAGGTCCACACCTGGGTGGGATTTTATCTTCCCATATGACTCATGTTTCTTTTTAATCTACATACAACATCATATAATATGTGATCATTTATGGTGGAGGCTAAATGTTCTATAAGCTGTGGGGTCAATCCTCGCCACACACATTGAATTGCATCTTTCTGCACTAAATTAAACTGAAACAGAACTACCTTGAATTCAGCAGATGAGAAACACCACAATTTTCGAACTCTTTCCCACTGGACAAAAAAACTACCCGACACCAAAAACATCTGGCTAATGTCTTCAGGGGAAAGAGTACAACTGGCCTTCATCAAGCGAAGTAAAGAACTCTGCATTCAAAGCTCACTATCGGCAGGGATGGAAGCATGAGAGCCTTGCGTGATGCTATGTGACGTGTTGGAGTGAACATATATAATAATATAATAAATTAAATAAACTGTTATTCCGAAAAATGAGAAGAAAAGCGTAAGAAAGTCTGAAGCAGTAGATTCCAGTCAGACAACATTAACTTGCCGTAACTCGTCAGTCTTCTGCTCACTTCTGTTACAAGAGTTTTAAAGAGCTTAAAGAGCTTAAAAGGACTTAGAGCCAAGATGTGACGGCCATAATTCAAAATGGCGATTGCCAAAACAAACGCCAGGCTTCAAAATGGCAGCGCGCAAACCAGGTCAGAGGCCTTTGAGCAAACAGAGGACTGAAGGAAATGACAAAGCATTGGATTCCCTCTTCGGAACCAGTGGTTTGGTCTAAACCAGATTTGCTCTCAACCAAAAACGTTGAGAGAAAAAGTTACTCTTTTCAACTTTGATAGTTTTTCTTATTTCACTAAAACTAAACTGAATAAAATCGCTTCCAGTGGATTAGTTTAACAACCATTTAGATGTGATAAGCTGCCAGACGCCGCTGTGCCCCAATGGGATCATCGTAGTGGGAGTTGGTTCTGGAGTCTGTTGTCAAAATGTCATGAAACTTGCAAATTTGTGTTGCTGTTGGTTTGAATAGTTTTCCTATTAAACAATCGCTGCAGCAACGTGACCTGCTGTGTGCGACCGACGTGACCTCGCCCGGCGAAAGACGGCTGAAAAGAAAATTCTATTCCGAGACACTTAGAATAGAGAGCCAGTGCTGTTATTACTTCTGTTGCCTATTCAAAGTCGCTCTCCATCTCCTCCCCGCTGTGACACACACACACACACACACACACACACACACACACACACACACACACACACACACACACACACACACACACCTGCACAGATGAGACACCTCAAAACTGGTGCATTGTCAGATACACACTAAACTTTAAGAGTTAAACTCCCACGCATACATACAGAAACCCTCCACACATCTCCTTACATAGGAGTTTCTGTCACACACACACACACACGCACACACACACGCACACACACACGCGGCCTTCACTCACTCAGCGGTGCCCACGGTGGGGGGCTGGCAATCTTCTCCAGGCTCCAGACCACAGGAGGTAAAGCAAACAATCAGCAGATCCCACTGTGATATCACAGCAAACTGTCCTCATGCGGCTCAATTGACTTTCCTCCGACAGAGCTTCTTTTTTTTTTGGCTTTATTGACTTACTTTAAAAACTCAATAAAAACGACGAAGCCAGTGGTCCGATTGACCCGCAGCTCGGGGGAAACGGGGATGGCTTCCTTTTGGAGGACTTACTCGATAAAGATGACAAAGCGAGAGGGGACTGTCTCTGTCTTCTGTGAAGCGGTTTGACCAGTGGTTCAGAAAATGAAGACGCACAAAGAGATCGAGGGAATGCTTCTCAGATGGGATGCTTCACAGCTGCTTTTATATCGTTGTCAATCGTGTACTTCAGTGTTTTCAGTTGTTGGTTAGCAACACAGGACATTGGGACCTCTGATACCGACACGTTCTGTGCTGATACACCAGCCTCATCCCACCAGCATCTTTGGCCCGTGGGAGGACGCCGGAGGCCACTGGGTGGAGTCAAACCCAGGACCTGTGAGGCGGCGCTGCTGACCACCACACCACCGTGCCGCCCTCCTCAGCCAAAGCCAAAACAATGAAAACAAAAATTCTGTGACAGCGAAGTAGATGTGTTATTTGGGCATCATTGGGGGGGGGGACGTACGCACCGACTAGTTGTGTACTCGTGCTGTGATGCGGCTGCGTGCAGACTGAGTGCTGATGCTGTGACTGAAGTGATCCTGATGCCAGTGATTGTAATGTAGTGAGGAGTTTAACCACTGCTGGAATGGAATTCAACGCTGAGTCTGAGAAGCTGTAATATCGCTGCTTCATCCGCAACGCGTGATGATTTGGCGTTCACGCAACTGAAGAAGTGTGATCTTCCCAAAAATCCTTTCCGCTCGTCTCCCTGGCTTATGTCGCCGTCAGGCTCGGATTACTGCATTTCACCAGCAGGCATATGAGAGGAAACCGCAGTCTGGTCCACTGCAAAAGGGCAGTTTAAGTACAAACTGTGGAATACATAATTAGGCTGTAATTTACGCACCTCCTCCCATCTCTTAATGGGAAACTTTTTTTGACACGGAAAGCGTTATTTGACATTTTGAGTTTACACGGCAGGCACATTGCCTTTTACGCACAGATTGCGAAACAATTACACCTGAAGTGGGCACAAAAGCGTCAGAGGCCCTCAGAGTTCCTAAATGGTTCCTTGCTTTTTTGTACCTCTAAAATCAACTTTAAGAAACCTTTTTTTCCCGCACAATTTACCACACAGTTATAGCAAATAACATTTTACAGTGTCATTTTGTATACAGTGTTAGAGGCCAAATTTCCTTTATCTTTTTAACAGACTTTACTCTGCTTTCTTGCCACCATTTGCTCCGTCCCTTCTTATCAGTAGATCTTAAAAGAAGCACTGAACCAGCAAGGGTTTTGAATTGAGAATCATTTTTGAAAAGTAAAAAGCAACAATACGAATCCAATTCATTTGTGGGACACTGAAACATTCCTACCCCAATAACTCCGACGGAGCTTTGTGTCATCTCCATTTAACATTTAACTCCATTCAGCACACATCTTCACTTTACATTCGCTACAGAGGAAGCAGATTCTGTACCTGAGGAGGAAGACGTGTCCACAACAAGATGGACTCGTCCCATATGTTTGGCTGAAGGCTTGAGATTCAATGATGTGTTTTTAGATATACGTGAACGGGAATGTGAAATTTTCATGAACTGTGAATAAGAAGTGACCTTGACGTCGCTCGTGGTTTGCGGACTGTCTCTTTTTTCACGCCTTGAGTTTGTCGTGTTGGCTGTTGCCATTGTGTTTTTTGGCCGTCACCACCGAATGGAAGTGAAGTTTTTGGCTGAAGAGGAAGACAACGTGTTATCAAGTCAAGCATTTTTACATCCAGTCCATTCTGATGAATTCTTTATTTCAGGAACCCCTTGAGTTAATTACAAACTTGGTAATTATACTGGTATTTATACTTTTTATATAACTGACTTAAAAGTCATTTCAAGCCATTGTGCCGTTCCTATCTGAGTCCTTTTCCTTTCCCATGGGACACTAACGCAGCCGCTGGTGCCTCTAACACACTGTCAATGTCCTGAATACTGAAGCAAAACCGTAGAGTGATCAAACGTTTTCTATGGGTGAGAAACATAAATACCATGTGGTGCATGTTCGGACACAATTTGACTCCAGTGACTCTTTGGTCTCAACGTACATACACAGTAAATACAAATAAACAACAAAATATTCAAGGAAAACAAAAACCAGCACAGCACAACTACACAATATAAAGATATTTCCAAAAGTATTTATATCTATAGGAACGTGTACAACAAAGAAAGCGTGTTGGAGAAGAAGGGCCTCTCTTTTTTGGGACTTCTTTCTTTTAGCAAACAAGAAAACCCCAAAGCTGGTGGAAACAATCGCGTCCTCCCCCTGGGGGAGGGGGGGGGGGGTCACCAAGGGCACATGCATCAGGTACATGCAGCACCAGCAGGGAGGTTTGTGGCAAGACGGGGACAACAAGATCTGAAATTCTCCTGCATTGCACTGAATGTTCCACGTTGATTATGCGCCACACAGCGGTTCAGAGGACCCGGGGGGGGTTTTCTCCTTTGTATCTCCTGCCTGCATCTAAAACAGTAGCTGATGTCTGTTTTAGCTAACGGCTCTCAGCGCTCTCACTGGTGGAATGTGCAGCCTCTGGAGTGCTGGAAGCCTCTAAACACAATACTGGTTAATTGGCTTCGTGCTCTTCTGCTGTTTGTGAAGGGTTATTTTTACTTCTCTCAGCGGCTCTGAATAGGACTCTGTGAGCGTGGTTGTGTTCCCAAGTAAACGCAGAAGTGTGCTGACGATCGGCTCACTTTCCCTTCATCTTCGTCTCCCACCGTCGCCTTTTTTCCTTTTCCTTCA